TTCTCGATGTGCTCTACAATGGAGACAGATCAGAAAAAAGTTTTGAAACAAAATGTTTCTGGCGCTGGAAACCTGGTTTCCCAGAAATTCGGTACTCGCAAGGCCTAGCGGCTCGTCTTATGCCGATATTCGGATTCAGCACTATTTTTTACCTATACTCCACTAGATTTCATTAAAAAACGATTGGTCAGTTACATATGTTCCCTCGTCAGTCGGCTTAATAACACGACTGGTCGTTTCACTCGGTCGGCTGAACTAGATTACAATTACGCTACGCACAAGTTGCAATGTCGACAAGCACTGCGTTCTAGTTATTACTCCATAACTAGTTTCCACCTCAGTGCGCATAGAGATTAGGAATAACAATGACTCATGTTTAATATAAATCACACAGGCAAAAGAGAGCGAGTGAGAATTATATTTTTTCTCAAGAACAAATGGTGTCAGATGATCAACTCTTATAAATATACGAAAAGGTTTTACATGCAAAACACATTTTTCTTCCACTTATGGAGCTTACGGCGCCTAACCTGAACGTTTGTTTGAAAAAAAAACGTGTAACTATCAGTCTGCACTACAAAGAGAATATCCTCTTGTTTCCAGAAGTTTTATATGTTGTGTAGTTCTCTAAATCACGCGACTCATATTTTTTGCACAAAAGTGGTGAACAAAAATAAAAAACAAAATTTCCTGCAAAAACTCATAATGTCTGTCGATGTAATGAGTTTGACAACTTTTATTACTTATTTATATATTTTCTTTCAAGAAGTTTAACCTATTAAGCAAGAAGCAACTGTGTTTTTGTTTGCTAATTTTAATCTATTAATTAAATATTTAATTAATTATGTATTTTTCCTGTTATTAGTTGCTAGCTTCTACTTAACAACAAGAGGTATCTGACAAAGGAGGGGAATCCGTATAAGCTAAGGATTCGGCCCATTTTTTGGGAGGGTGCTCCAAATGGTTCTGTGAGAAGCGAAAAGTACAAATACTCGATTTTAAGTGCTTTTGGATAGCTCCCACTCTGTCAGGCCTGATAGCATGTGGATTCGGAGACTGACACTAACGAGCACCATTAGGATCCTTATAATATACTTCTCTCTGAAATTTTAGGGGTGTACAAAGAAATCGACATATACATAAAAAGCTGTTTCAATCCTCTACAACCTGGTCTTTTCAGAATATGTTCGCTGATTTGCAAAAAACTGCTCAAAGTACCGCTCACATGCTTTTTGGAACTTTAGATTTTAACGTAAAAATTAACATATCAATCTGATTTTTAAGTCAAAATCTGAAGTTCTAGAAACCGTGTGAGCAGTACCTAGTTCGAATCCATTTTTTACGTAGCTTACAACTATTACATTGGTTTTGATATTAAATATTGTTCCGATGACGAAATTGAGCAAATACCACTCGAAACCTCCCTGCAAGAAATACCAAAACGTCTTTCACTTTTTTTCAAATCAGTGAAAATATTCTGAAAAGACCAGGTTGTAGAGTATTGAAACAGCTTTTTATGTATATGTCGATTTCTTTGTACACCCCTAAAATTTCAGAGAGAAGTATATTATAAGGATCCTAATGGTGCTCGTTAGTGTCAGTCTTCGAATCCACACGCTATCAGGCCTGACAGAGTGGGAACTATCCAAAAGCACTTAAAATCGAGTATTTGTACTTTTCGCTTCTCACAGAACCATTTGGAGCTCCCTTCCAAAAAATGCGTCGAATCCTTAGCCTCCTTATGTTTGAATTAAGACACAGGTTTTCAACTGATATTATTTAATATAATTTTTTTGTCATTCAATTGGTTTTATTGATCATCTTGAAGGTATCATTGATTAATAGACCATTAGCTGGCCAATTCTTTTTCAAACAATGACGATTATCAAATGGTAAAATAATTCACCTTATTCAGCTGCTTACTACTGTGCGCTATAGTGAATCCGTTCTGATCATCTTGTCGAACCGTCTCTCACATTGGATTCAGAACTCATTTGCTGATATTATAAATGTATTATTACTGTAACACATTTCAAAACCAAAACATGCGTCTTGTACTTAGACGTACTACTTATAGTTCGAGTTTTTATCATGCTATGCGCTGATGCTTTTTATTAATAAATTAACCAAATTATATAACTGATGCAATTTTAGCTTCAAAAGAGGCTACCAAAACACAACCATATCAACATCGTTGAACACAGTGAGAAAGTACGGATACCACCAAGACAGTCAAAGCTGTGGGATACGCGATGATGATATCTATAACTTCTAACTAATCAAATAGTATAAACAAATGACGTCTAAGTATATCACGAATGTATCATAAAGAATTGCAGTCTCAATATTTTCAAATTTTCTCCTCTTTCTTAACCTTAATCAAGCTTATTTCTCACCAAAAAAAAACCATTCAATTTTCTACAAAAAAAATTATTGGCTGTTTTATTTCGCAATCTGAAGGTGAAAAATGACACGAGAATTTGTGCTAAGTATCAAAATAGATAAAAAGTAAGTTGAAAAACAGTTAAAGTAAATAGTTAAGTGTTTAAAATTTTATTATTTTTTTTCAAATTTCCTAGAACTTCGAAGATTTTATCAGTAAGTTGTGACCTTCGATAAAAGAAGTGTAGTTTACTCAAACTTCATCATTTCAAGTTGAATGTTTTCATTTTGAAGATAAATAGGTAATCTTTATTATCGAATCATTAAGATCTGAAAAAACGTTTTTCTGCTATAACGGACAAATAAGATCCCAAATTGTTGCCGCTCTCGCGCGACGCCCGAAAACCACTCCTTGTATTGAATATTTTAATTCAAACACATTTTGTGGTGCGCAATGAGAAAGAGTATACTAAGTTTACACAAAAATTTGCTCAAACGGCGTTCTCATGATTGTGAAACTATTCAAAAAAAATTAAACTCTATTTGAGAAAAGACATTCTTTTTCCATCCATTTTGATACTTAGCACAAATTTTCGTGTCATTTTTCACCTTCAGATTTTGAAATGAAACAGTCAATAACTTTTTTTTAGAAATTGAATAAAGAATCTTTTGGTGAAAAATAAGCTTGATCAAGTTTAAGAAAGAGAAGAAAAATTGAAAATACTGAGGTTGAAACTCTTTGTGACATACCCAATATCACCTAGTCTTCAATTTTCTAACTTATATGAAAACTTCCTCTAATTACTCTTAAAAAAATAATGTGCTTGTAACTTGAAATTTCTCTCAATATTCAAACTACGAAAAAAACGTTTTTCACTCTCGTAACAAAGGTATATCTCCTATGTTTTACTGTGCTACTTCCGAATCTTGACAGGAACTACTACTAAACCCCCTCACCCCCCAAGTGTACTTCTTCAAACGTTAACTTCAACTCTCTCGCTCTAGTTCAACTTTATATGATATTAAAAAATTTGCAAAAGTGTACAATTCGATTGTTTCTGATCGTCCCTTTTGCATGAATTATAGCAAAGGATAATCTATAATAAAAATATTTTTCTGTTAAATTATACTCACCACGCCGTTTTTATTCATATCTAAACAACGAGAAAACAAATAGCAATTCAAAAATTCATCAAATTGATCTATACGTACCGTACATATCAAAAGCAAGTCGAAGTTTTTCTCGGACATCTAAAACATAGAGTATACGTACAATAGTACAGTTGAAAAAAAATTAGGCCTGTCTTTAATACATACTTCCATTACTAGTAATATTCACGGCAATTAAAAATTCAAAAAAATCGATATAACCATTGTCATCGCTATCTAAGCATAACGGTATCTATCGTCATATAGATGTCACTAGTTTAGACACAAAATGTGTAGTCTACATACCGAATGTCTTGAAAACTTGTGTACAAAACTTTTCAGCTTTTCCTTCAGGATAAAATTTCTAAACAGAAAAAAAGATACAAAATGTACTCGTAATAGGAAAAAAAAATTCCACTTTCTCACGAACTTTATAAACTTCAAGAAATTTTTTCTTGTCCAGCTTTCCGTTCGGACAATCTCTACAAAGAAAGAGAAAAAAAAAATTATACTTTAAAAATAATATGAAAAAGTAGTAGTTTGTGTCCCATATAAAAACTCAGCAAGAAAAGGAAAAATGAGAGATAAGACGAAAAGCAGGAATTTCATTACGATGGTGGCTAAAGCAAGATATCTTATAACCGTTGATGTTTAGTAATTCATACATCATAATGTTACAATTCGTCCTTCGTTATCGTCTGATTTATGACAATAACGACGGCAGAAGTTTTATGTATAGAAATAAATAGTTTTATTAAAAATTTCTGTAAGAAAGTCTAGGCTGTCAACAAATTTTTAGATAAGTTTTCTAGAAAAATTCTTAGTGAGAGGAGAATCCTCACTAACGCCACTTGGCTAAACGAAAATAAATCATGTAAGGATTCTTTTCTGACCATCACCACTATTGGTGATTGAACTTCAAAACAAAACGTCTATTTATTTCTTTTAGCGAAAATGACAGTAGAGAAAAGAAAAAGAAAACTATTGATAATTACTGAAGAAATCCTTGATGCCAATCCTAGAAGAAAAGAAACAATGAATTGTTTATATTCTTATCAGATAAATACAATCACTAACCTGTATTTGTTGACGAGAATAAGTTGTGTTGTTCGTTAATCTGTCAACTTCTTCATCAGTCAATTGCGTTAGATCTTTTTTCGTACTCTTTGCGCTTTTTTGTCCCATTCTTATGATTTGTATGTTTTATAAAACTTTATCAAAAATGATATGTATTTGTTTTTTCTACAATTAATCTATTAAAAAAAAAACAAGGTGAAATTATTTTTGATTATTTCGTAAAATAAAAACAACGATATGTATGATGTAAAATAATTGATAAAAAGACTTTTCTAAATCTGTTGTTATATACTATATTTATAATGTTGAATGTTATTAACGCAATAGATAAAGACAACATAACGTAACAATAAAAGAAGTAGAAAAAAACTATCCATGAGGGTTTTTTTGTTGCGTTTATTCTTTCTTTCGACGGCAAAGAATCTTTTTTCCGAAGCGTTATAGATGTCAAAAAAATGCAGTTACTAATAGAAGAAAATGTTTTTTTGCTTATCTGTTCTTTCAATATATTTTGCGTTGATGCAACAATACAAGAATGAATTGTGGCAAACCGCTCTCTTATTGGAAGACTATATCTCTATACCACATTCATTTGATTAATCAAAGATTTTTTTAAAGCGAGCAAGAGAGAGAGAGAGACAGAGAGGGAGAGAGAGAGAGAGGGAGGAAGAGAGAGAGGTCAATCACACGTGTATAGACGATATGTAGTCTATAGTTCATCGTACTATTCTTAGTGTTGTTTAAAATAGTTGAAAGAGGGAAGGAAACAGAAAATATAAAATGATGGCGCCTATTTTTCACGAGAATAATAATAACACTCAATTTATTTTTCTTTCTTTCTCTTATTATAGTTTTATTTCATATAGGAAATAGAGGCAATATGACTTGTACATAGCAAGTATTATCGACCTTTCGTTCGCTAAAAACGTGACTAATGGTATGATCTTTTGTACATAAATTATATCACTGCCGCCATGGCTATAGTAACATCGAGTGCAAACGTTAAAAGCCAATCGTTACAACCCATGTAAAAATCAAAAACTTTCTTTGATTATGGAACATTACTGCTAAAGATTATAAAAATTGTTGTATGAATAAATAGCAGTTACTATAGGACTCTTGATCTGAATTCTACTTTTTTTTAATCGGAAAAAAAAAGAAAAATACTCATATAGCAATTGACGGAAATAATACACCTAGCTTATTAATGTGAAAAGAAAAGATGAACTTGAAAAGACCGAATCTCATATGTCTGTGAGAGAGTGAAGTAGAAGATCTTTTCTTTCATAATTCTGAAAACTCTCGAGTTCAGATTTCTGAGTGTCGTCCTTAAAAGAGGTATTATATTATAAAAAGGATATTGGGTTATACGTATTGATGAATCTGGTAACATATCAATAGATAAGAAAAAATTATACTACATTACACTCTCTTCTAATAAACAAATCAATAAGAAAGTGAAGGATGGCAAACACAACCTAATTAATAAAATGTATGCATGCATGCAATAGTAAAAAGAACTAGTTTTTACATCCTGCACTTTTGCTATTTTCTCCTATCTGTATTTGATTATATACAACAACATAAACTTAGTTAACATAGAACGGTACAATATGCACAAAACAAAACGTCAACTAATTTATCTGTTTTTTATTCGAATTTTTCACTCATTTAAACTGAGATACATTTAATCTTAATCTTTTATTCCATAGATTATTGTTATATTTATATTATACAAAGGATTTTATTCTCTGTGTGTTCAAAACATTTTAGCCTCTCCACCTGTCCGTCCTGTAAATAAAATTTAAATAAATTTTTTTTGTCGAACAAATACGTATCACAATGACAGCTGCATTCAAACATCTGCTGATAATTCTAGTTTCAACTACAAGAAGACGCGCATCAATTATGCAACGGATTTTAAGGCATAATAAAATGTATACTATAATATAAAGTGTTTGTTTGTTTGATTGTTATGCTATACAAATCCACATGCTTAATCCCAGAGCAACCAAATTTTGCATGGGATCCACATTCATCAAGAGGAAGACCGCAGGCTATGTGCGATCCCAAAATTTCCACCCACAGGAGGATCTCCCTTGGTAAATATATATATATCGTTGAAATTCTTTCCCGTGCAACGCCGGGTAAATTTTCTAGTATGTTATAGATCTGTAACGGCTAATTTCGAAGAGCTGTCGAACGTCTTTTTTGTAGAGTAACGTTAGTTCTGTAATTTATTGTGAATGAAACAAGTTTGAGGTTAAAGTTAGGAGTATCTCTTTTTTTCACCTTCTTACCAAATCGAGAGCGAAAGTCCAATTGAGATAGAACCAGAGTTGCCAGATGCTTAGGTCAGAAAAGCGGAATAAAAAATCGAAAGAGTGGAAAAAGGCGGAAACGCATTTTTCACCAAACGCAAAGGGGTATCAAAAAAATTTTTCTATTGGGGGCGGTTCCACTTAAGAAACACAAAAGAAGTACAAAACATCATTTAAATCTTAATCCGAATCGATGTTGGCTTTTTGTGAATGCGCGTTTTTGATCGGCCATCATAAATTTCAAGAGTTATGTATTACAGGATAAAATTTAATTCGAACCTTTCCCGCCTACAACAGCACTTAATGGTTAAGATTTTCTGACCGAGTTGGCTTCCTTGAAGATTTAGTATTGCACTATTTTTCATACTCCCTTTCAGCAGCACTTGAGACAAGCTAGTGTTTTTCTGTTACCGCTCACTTCCGGGGCAAATTTCTGATTTAGTTCCTAAAACAGTGCGCATCTGTTTTATAGAAGTTGCAAAAACATTGTTTTGACAGATCATTCAACGGCCAAAGGCGGCAAACTTTTTATGAGAAAATGTAAAAGTCTTCATTACAGGAAAAAGAACAAATCCTCGAAAAGCGGACATTTTGCGGAAAAAACTACAGAAAGCGGAATTTGTCCGCAAAATGCGGACTATCTGGCAACTCTGGATAGAACATCAAAACGAAAATCGATGTATTTTTGTCAAGAATTTTCTAACATGTTCTTCTATGGGGTTTCTGGAAAACAGCACATTACACAACCTTCCGGAAACTTTATCTGATCGGTTTCAAAAATTTACCACGGATACCTGAGATGATATCTCAGAATAGCGATTTTCCTTTTTTATTTTCGAGCTTTACTTCTCGAGATATAAAAAAAAATGGTAAAAGACCTAGATGGAATATAGGATTTTGGTTTTGAAAATCCCGTAACTCGGTAAGAATCAAAAACAAAAAAGGAAAATAACCGTTTTCCTTAAGTCCCAAGTACTTGTGGTAAAATGTTGACCTTGTCGGATGAAGTTTCGATGGAATCGTGGTGGTCATAGACTGGAATTACTACTGTTTCGAGCATTACAAATAACATCAGACAAGACAGTTAACTGATGGCATTTGCAGCAATGCTTACATCTCCGTAAAAACGGTTCCAAAATTTTGAAAGACGTCTCATTAAGAATAGTATACTTTCCTCTATCAGATTATGTATAAAAAATATTTTTGAAGGAACTGGAAAAGAGAAAAATTTACGAAAACCCAAAAACTTGAGTGTTTTCAGCTTAGAAAACTCATATAACTTTTTCCAAAACTACGAAATATAGTGGAATGCTGGAAGGGGTCATATTTTGTAGCACAAACTTTTCTCTACATTAATGTCTGTTCAACTCAAAATCGAAAAGTTCTACGGAAAGAGGGGGTTACCCTTAACAAAAGTACATGTACTTCAGAATTCGAGAACTGTGATTTATAATTAGTTACCAGTTATGTAACTGTTCCTGATCATTCTTCACCAGAACACCAAAAAAAGATTTACAATTTATTTTACATTTATTTTACTCATGATTATGATTTCTGAATAATTGGTGAAATAGTCGGTGAAAAAGCGTGTCCAATCACTATATGCTGATCGTATCAATAAGAGAAAATCTATAGATTGGTATTATTAATAATCATTGAAAATGAATAAGATTTTAAATATGAATTTATGTTGAATTAAGCATTTTTTCTGAGCGTGAGATTGCCAGATCATTTCTTTTATTGGTGTTCCTTATTTCGAATCAGTAGAACAGTTTTATGAAGTAAGAAGTAGACATTGAGAGAAAGAGAGAGCGAGAGAGAAATCAAGAAATCGATTTGAACGTTGTTTAGACTAGAAGTGATATCTCGTGATCTACCACCCACAATTATAAGTAGGACAACTTCTGCAACCACATTCACATAATCTTGATTGATGCACAAACCATTTTTCATCGGCAGTCTTCCCGAGAACGGCTACCAGCTCACAAGCAGGTGACAGGATCCAACAGTTTCGTTAAAAATAGCGCACAATTTGATTAGAGTTAATAGATTAAAGTTGGACAAACTAAAATGCATCAACTGTATTGTGTTTTATGTTAGTATTAAAGTGTAACCACTATTCACGCTAAAAAATAATGTATAGCAAATTGCGACACTTTTTGCGATACTTTTATCCGCTACAATGGGTGTTCACTGCGACACTTTTTTCCCATTAGCACTGTGACATTTCCTCTGCGACAAAGATGTGACGCTTTATTTGGCATTACTTAGCTAGCTTCACCTATTATTTCATCTAATCTGATGAAAGTGTTATTTTTTGTACAATCTGAAAGTACTAAAGAACATCCAAGAATGTTTTTTAGCAATAATTTTCCTCGATATTTTCCCTCACCCTTAACAACGTCCAACAACTGCGACAGTTAAATTGCAACACTTCAAAGTGCGACATATATTTCCCACACAAGGTGCGATACATTCTACTGCGACGCATTTTTGCGATACATTATTTTTTTGTGTTTGATACAGAAATAACAATATTTCTGTGCAATTACCTTCTAATTTTAACAACATGAGAGCTTCCGTAATTGTACTGAGTAGATCATTAACCTATTCGTCATAAATTCCTGTTATTTTGAAAGTACTATAGATGCTCACACTATTTTTTCTTCCTTTCCTTTTCCTTTGGAAAAGTGGAATTAAATTCTTATTGCCAGCAGCTTATATTTAAAGTTAAACATATGTATAAGTGAGCAAAGAGGTTTCAAGACTACTTCCCAGTTTTATTCTTATAAATAGATGTAACTTTGATATTTCTCAACACAGATCATCATCCCAACATAAATCATACTCCACTATATACTGTCAAACGGAGAATTGCAAAGAGACGAACAACAAGAGAGACGACGAATCGGCATGTCTGTACGCTAAGGATAGGAAGAATACATAAATCAACAAGTAAACACTTAAAATACGAACTGTGTTTCTTGCTTGACACTTTATGGAAAATAGTTGATTACGACCAGGAGTGTCATGAATCTCTTCTGGTGTTGTTACTCCCGGTGTCAGTGTAATGAATTTCATCAGATTAGATATATTGCTAGAATAAATGGCTATCCATTGTCATTTGTTGACATACGAATTAGAATAGGGCTCACAAAATGGTTTCAAAAAGATAAGAGTGAAAAAAAAGAGATAAAGCTACCTGTGATCGGACCTGAAAAGAAACGGATCTACATGGAAATCCCATATGCTAGGAACTTTTGAAAAAGAAACTGACGCAGTTTTCGGAGAAAGTTCGGCCAGATATCGACTTGCGATTTGTCTCAAATCCTCTACCGGCTATACAAACTTTCTTTCAAACGAAAGATAAAATTCCATAGTATCTCCAGTCAGATATAGTCTATCTGGCCAAATGTAGTAATTGTAAGGATAGTTATATGGGAAAAATAGAACGCCATGATCTTCGTAGACTCCAGGAACATGGTGCTCCTAAAGACTTATTTCAATAAGATGGTCTCAGTATACTCTCTGATGAAAAATCTGATAAAAACATGGAAAAAGATATTTTTGAGCCAAGGGATGGAATTGGTCCTATAATAAAAAAACATCGAGCAGTTCCAGAAGGGTTGACAAATCGTTGTTTTCTTATACATCGTGGAAAGAAAGAGATAGAACAGAAAATGACATCAACTATACTAACTGAACTATGACTTGTGCTGTACAGCAAGGGCGTGAAAAAGTAAAGAAAAGAAAGGAAAAGAAAATTGGCCTATACTGCATATATGTAGCCTACTCCATTCAGTTTTTATAAAGTTTGTATTGGACAACCTTGAAAATGATTTTCCAATAAAATCGAAACGTTGGAAAGTATTACATAATGATTAAATCAGCTGCTGTGTTATACTGCTATTCTTTTCTAAATCCAATCGTGAGACCATTACTGCGAACTATTATCTGAAAGTGCATATTTTCTGTCTCTTTACAGACAAAAACCACCACCAGCATATAACAGGTCGTGATAATTACAAATTTTAACAGTGTTCAGTCCAAAATCAAGTGAGGCTGAGCCTCAATTGGTGGAGACCGGGTGAGACTCGAGCCTCACGGGTCTCACTGGCTCCGCCGCAACTGACTATAACTGAATCAAAAAAGTGCAATAAAAAAAAGAACAAAATTCATAACAGAAGTTTGTTGAATGTCTTATCCAGAACGTATTGGCTTATCAATTATTGGATAATCAATAAAATTAATAACGCAATTGGTAGGCGTTTCGCACGGAGCTGCATCCAATTCAATTATGGTTAAATTGTTTTGTCCTGTTTGAAGCCATGGACCGGGTGTATAGAGAGTCATTTGAGGACCTATCGTCCAGTATCGTCCAAGGTTATGATCGTTAACATAAGCGACTCCCTATATAAAGTAACATTGTAAGCATTAGGCATGAGATTTACTTTTAACTTACGAGGAAACCTATCAAAGTGATACCTTCCGTCTTCGTTCGCTCATATGTCGATCGATAGAGGGTATCGATCTAGTAAAAGTCCTGAAAGAATTTTTCTCCATGACTCTTGGAGACCCGGTTTTCTGGAAAACCACTTTTTCAGAAACTCTAAAAAATAACCAAAGCCTTTCTTAATGAGACATAATTGTAGCCAGCAAATTTCTGATTGGAATGAGACATCTTCCAGCTCTACACGACCTTTCTTGCAAAGTTATAGAGTTTACAAGAAAAGCCCTAAATGTTCAAAGCTATAGAATAAGAAGAAATAAATTTAGGGCTTTTCTTGCAGATTCTATAACTTTGCCAAGACAGATCGTGTAGAGCTGGGAGATGTCTCATTCCAATCAGAAATTTGCCGGCTACAATTATGTCTCATTAAGAAAGGCTTTGGTTATTTTTTAGAGTTTCTGAAAAACTGGTTTTCCAGAAAACCGGGTCTCCAAGCGTCATGAAGATAAATCCTTTTCGGCTTTTTACTAGCTCGATATCCTCTATCGATCAACATATGAGCGAACGAAGACGGAAGGTATCACTTGGATAGGTTTCCTCGTTAGCAGAAATAGAACTATGATACATTAAAACTTCTATTGCATCTTTTGCCTCACCTTGGTCCAGTTTTGTGGTAACAGAAATGTATCGTACGGACTAATATCTTTCACGTTTAATGTTGCAGTGAAAATATTTGGGGCATGCGGATCAAAACTAGAAAAAAATACCATTGATCCGGAAAAATAAGAGACATCAGAAAGAAATGTCTATTTCTAAACATACTCATTCGAAGATGTTTGCGTCTTTAACGGTAGTTTAATTTGTTTATACGGTGAATTATCAAACAAAGTTCCAGAGATGCACATTGTCCAATTCATTAGCATTTGACCATCTAGTGTAATATTACTCACGAAACCCTAAATCATCATACATTACAATAACTTGTGCATAATAAAGCATTTTTTTTCTATTTGTAGAACCTTTGTATCTATCATGTTTCCGCCAAAATTAATCCGTCCCATATTTTCCACAATAATATTTAAATGCTTTTCTTTATTACCAGGAGCATTAATATGAATTGTTGTGTTTCCAGCGCGATAAACAGTGCCAATTGATTTCTATTAAAATAAGATAAGTCCAAAAAACAACATTAGGCGTGTACATTTACAGAAGCTTACCTCGCCAAGAAGTACATAACCACGATCGCGTATACCATTCAAATCAAGTGTTTTCAAATGTACTTCTGGATCATCTAATGTTGTTGAATATACAACAAACGCTTGATTCTGTGAAAATAAAACATTAGTTAACTAGGATACCGAAGTGAAAAAATGATGATCTCTGCAACCTGTCCGAGTTCTTCGAATTGTTTGGGATACGCAGCAATTTCACAACGAGGTGAATTTCTATTTATGTAACTCAAAAGTGACTCAGTCTATTAAAATACAGTACACGTCGATACATATTTATTTCAAATTATCTCATTTAATCGTTACGTACAAATGACAATTGCACTTCTCCATATGCCGCTTTTGTATTGTTACTTGGAACGTTAATGGGAGGAAGTGGAAAATACTTATAAGATGACAAAAAATATATAAAAATGTGAAAGTTAGTTGGACATATCATCATTCTACCTTGGAAATAACTTCTCGAATCGACATATATTTTCTTGTAATGTCACCTTAAACACAAAAAATTGAATTTTGATATTTTAAAGGAGAAATCATCATTACCTGCTTCAGAAATTGGTGAATCATAATCATAACTCGTTGGTTCAGGTAAATAGGGAGGATCAGCTCCTAGAATAAAATAGTTAAAAAAGAAAAAACCTTCCTGAACACAATTAGCCGTTCTTATAACACAAACTTACCTGAACTGAAGCCAAAATTCGTTCCACCATAAAACATATAAAAGTTAACATTTGCACCAATCTCCAGCATATCGTTCAGCGTTTTAATAATTCGTTCAGTTGCAGTTCGTGAATGAGGTTTACCCCAATAATCCAACCATCCTGGATAAAATTCAGTATTCACCTTAGACACAAAAACAAAGAGTTTGTATAAAATTAAGGTTTTGTTTTCGTTTTAGGATATACCAGAGGTCCATTAGGAGCATATTGACGTTGATAACCAAATACTTCAGTCACATTATATCCAACGCCAAAATCAACAGTTGGATATACGCCCGCCACTGTTCCGCATTTCAAATAATCCAGACCAGCACCATCTGTGAATGAAACAAGAGACGCAGGTAATAGAACCATAAAGCTCAGGTGTTTAAGAAGAAAACTCATTTTATCATAGTACAGAATAGTTCTTTTTGTTGTTCAAAACAAGTACAAACCAACAGTGAATAAAACAACATCATCACCAAGATATTGTCGAAATATATCACGCAAATATTGTAAATAATTATTATCACATGCCGGATAACTACCATATTCATTTTCAACCTAGATAGAATCATAGACGACTTTATATGAAATAATATTTATGTCACACAGCAAATTACTTGAACAGAAATAATATTTCCACCGTTTCTGTATAACAATGGTTCAACTTTTGTCAATAAAACACTCAACCAGCGAGTTACAGCTTTCAAATAGCCTAAAATACACATAAGAATTGTTTCGTTGATTAAACATAACAAACTAATCGTTTACACAATATTACCTGGATGCATCTGTCGAACTTTTAAGTCAGGATCTTTTAACAACCACCAAGGAAAACCACCAAATTCATGTTCTCCACAACCATAGCTAAAAGACCAGAATAGAAATTACCGAAAAAAGTAGCGTAACTATACTCACGGACCAACCCGTAATATAACAAGAAAGCCAATTTTTTGCGCTAATTGTAAAAATGTCACAATGTCATTCCTGTCATCGAAATTATAGACACCAGGCAATGGTTCATGTTGATCCCAGAAGATGTACCTTTTTTATTTAACAAAAATTTTTGCTAGATTCATATCAAATTGTTTTTAAAAATTTAATCTTCTTACGTTTGTATGGTATTCAATCCGGAGGTCCACATTCGTAATAGACGATCTGCCCAATATTCTCTCGGCATTCGATACATATGTATTGAGCCGCTAATATATTGAAAAGGTTTTCCATCTTTGACAAACGTGTTATTATCAAAATCAATATAAAATGATCGTGTTCCATGAACATATGGCTAAACGATTTTAAACTTTTTATTTTCGTTGGTTTCAAAACAATCTTATTTCGGCAACCTACTTTGATTAAACACACAACCAATAAGGTAAAGCACAATATATTCAATAAAAAGGCCATGTGTTTTGAACGCAGATCTAAACTTTTTAAGTTTAAAATACCTAGGCTAAAAAAAAAAATGTTATCATCCTCTGTATGTGTTTAGAAACGTTTTTATCAGCGCTGTTTTCTGTCGACCAAAAGCAAATAGAACATCTTTTATATAATATTAACCTCTTATAAATCCTTAAAAATCAAGAAGGTAAAACGAAAATTTTAGAACTTTTGTGGACAACGATACTTAGCAGATCGGGAATTTGTTAATTTGTTCGACAAGAGATATTTTTGCTTATTATTCTCTTTAATACATACAAAAATCTGCTAAATATCATCCTTCTTCTTTGAGAAAAGCGATTGTCATGACATAAACAAATGTTGTTTATACTTCAGCTTATCACTAACGTAGGTTAACTTATTCGAACGAAACAACGCTCACTGAGAAGATGAGATTAAGGATGATTCACGAATCATATAACACAAAACTGGTAAAATTATCTAGAATAGGAACTGAAGTATCTCTTCATCTATTGGCTGCATTTCATCTATATGATTGAGAAGATTCGTGTGTTTTTTTGCATTGCATGTTCATTAAAACAGGATTACTATTACATTCGGCGCTATTCTTGAATGCAAATGTATTAAATAGATTGAAGGATCTCTTTGCACAATTGAGTAAATGTATTTTTCGTCAAATCCAGTACTAGTGATGAGAATGGCAATTACTATAAATTAAAAATTTTTTTGAATTGTCTGTCAAATTTTTCGTCTTTTTCCACTAGTACGTGTCGGCCAACAACGTTTATTTTAATCACTAACTGTCTGAGAAGATCTAAATTTTCTCACTCTGTTGAAGACAATTAGAATGTCTGGTCAAACCAGAAGGATTCTTTTTCGAATCTAAGAAGATATCATTATATTAATCAGAGTATATATATTGTTTACTCTTCTAGATTATTTTTATTTTTAATACTTGTATAATATAACAATAAAAACAATTGTACAAGAGAAAACAACAATAACATAAATTTCATTGCACATTCAACATAAAAAATGAGAACATTAAAGAAATACTTCTGCTACAAACAAGACTGTTGTTCTAATAATATATTTTAGTTACTTTTAGAACTATGTCCTGCGGATTGATCTTCAAGGAAAAATTCCATACTATTATTTGATTAAAGCAGAAAAATAAGTTTTTCATGTTTGCAATCAGCAGGACAATAGTGCTTTTTAAAGCTTCTTATTCATTCGAATATTTTTAATGTTAAACAAAAACAACAGCAGACACAAATGGTTGTGATTTTTAGATTTATCATTAAGGCACAAATTTTATGAGTTTAAAAATTTTTCTTAACAAACACTGCATAAAGCAAAAAAAAAACAGCGATAAAAAGAGAGCCGTGAGTATTAAAAATAGTCAATGCAAAAGAAAAACAAAAAACTCAACATATTTCAATAAAAAAAAAGAGCTAATGGAAGAAATTTTTGTTCAAGAGATTCCTTTTTATACAAAGAAAAAGAGTTGCTTTCGTTAAATATCGTTAATTAGAAATTGGGTATTTCAGGAAAGAGAAATATGATAATATTATAACGTTGTGAGCGCAAAGAAAGACTACTAGTCTGTAACATCAACAAAAAAAAAAATAATCATGTTGCTGCTATTCCATGTGACTTGTTCTAGCATTAAACTTATGACGAAAATAATAATAATAAATTACATAAAAAAACAACCAACTACTGTACATAAACGAGAATCTACAAGGTAACAACAACGACGAAGAAAATCTAACAAATTTATTTTACATCAGTCGACAACGTGATGTACCGTATTTACGTCGTTTCTTCTTTTTCACCGGATTTTGTGTCTGATTTTGCACACTGAAATAAAATAGACGCTCTAAAAAGTCTTAGTAAAAATATTTAAATATTTAGTAAAGATCCATAACATCTCTTCGGATATTTTCACTTCACTCATTGAACAAGAAAACTTACTTACCGAATAATACGAACGAGTTCTTGAAATGCAGAATCAACATTCATTGGAGGATCTTTAGCACTTGTTTCTATATATGCAATCTAGAATGAAAAAAAATATTTTTAAATAAATGAGAAAATTTCCATTAAACAAAAAACGAAACAATATTCTGTACGTTACTTACATTTAATTCGGCTGCTAATTCTCTTCCTTCTTCTTCGGATACTTTTCTTAAATGCACAAGATCCACTTTATTTGCAACAAGGATCATTGGATAACTTTTCCTAGAGAAATAAAATCATTATTGTTTTGAATATTTATTTTTCTCAAAAATTATATATATTATTTACCGATCTTTGACTCTTAAAATCTGATTATAAAAACTTCTTATATTTTTACAACTATTTGCATCGATAACAGAATAAACGAGAAGGAAACCATCGCCTTTACGCATATATTGTTCGCGAAGAGCAGAAAATTCTTCTTGACCGGCAGTATCTAATACTAAAAATCAATTTCAAACTAGATTATTATTAAATACAGATGAATAGATTTTCATACCATCAAGAACACACACTTGACGATCAACTTCCACATGTTGAATATACGAATCTTCGATGGTCGGATCATAATCTTCGACAAACATTTTTTGAAAAAACTGAATTGTTAACGCGGACTTTCCAACACCTCCTTCTCCAACAACAACAAGCTTATATGTAACAGCATTATCTCCTGGACTTTGCATGGCTTCTACGGATTAAAAAATCTGAAACAGAGATAGTATCAGTTATTTGTGAAGTAGAAGAAAGAAAGATATTGGAGTATTACTAAAAGATGCGACCATTCCCAAAATAAAATTTGAGTTAGCCAATCGATAGAGCTCGTCGACCTGAGTATAGCAATGCCTAACGGATATCCAAAAAAGGTTGATAGTTTCGCTTTTTAAGCATACATTTTCAATGAACATCTACGAACATCCAAAATAGTGTGCCAAATCTATCTCCAGGATGGTACCAGTAGGCTCAGAACAACCTGAAGATGAATTTGGCACACTATTTTAGGTGTTCGTGGATGTTCATTGAAAATGTATGGTTAAAAAGCGAAACTATCAACCTTTTTTAGGTGTTCGTTAAGCGTTGCTATACTTAGGTGGATGAGCTCTATCGATTGGCTAACTCAACTTTTAATTTGGGGGTGTACGTGGGTGTTCGTATCTTTTAGTAGTATCCAAGATATTGCCATGTTGAAAGTGTTTTGTAATGAAAAAATATGTGATTTTATTCAAAAAATCTGCTTTATGAAGATTTATTTTCAAGAATTATGCTAAAGTGAAGTTCTAGGACGACAAATTTCATTCATCAATACTTGTCCACGGTACTTCTACAGATCGACCACCTTCCTACCACTACCATCGCTCACCCTCACCGCCGCTCACTTTTAACACTAAGGAGGTGGTCGATCTGTAGAAGAACCGACAAGCTATGGTGAAAAGCATAGGCCTGGATAAAGATTGATGTCAATCTAAAACGTCACTTGTCAATATTTTTTCCCGTTAATAACGGCTATGTACCTGGAGAAAGAATAAGTATGATATCAAATCCACTTACAGTTTTCGTGGTAAATAACCTTGAACTAAAGTTGAAACAACATGAATTCCAAGAAAAATAGTTTTTGTTTTCTGTTATCATTTGCTTCCGCACCAATCTTAACTTCGATTATTCACCTCTCTTTCCTCCAACAAATTTTATGACGATAAACAAATAAAAATGAAGAACTAAAACATACGTCATTGAACTAAAAATCCGCTCAAGAGAATTAAAACACAAATCGTAAAAGAGAGAACGAAAACGTCTTTCATACATTTAAAAACTTAGGCGATAAAAACCAACCAAAATCTGTAGGGATAGATGACGATAGATTGTGAACGGAAATTATCGCTAGATGCAACGCTTTCGTATGACAATTCTTGCACAACTAAACTGAAAATATATCATTATCAAAAACAGCACGTGTTTCAAGTACGTAACGTAAATGTCATGTAAAGGAAGGTTATATCTTATCTTATGCTTACCAACATATCTTATGCTATGCTCTTAATGGCGAAGATGCCCATATATGGGCCATAGTGCATTAGTTAGAAGCACGTGTTATACTGACGAGGGAATCTCCCGAGGTGATAAATCGCTTTTTGATCCAATTCTAGTGGATTATAGGTTATCAACCATCCTGATTCCGAATATGATCATGAGGCTTCTCCATAGCTCTTCGAAGATCCGGTTTTCTGGAAAACCAGTTTTTTAGAAACTCTAAAAGATAACCAAAATCTTTCTTAACGAGGCATGATTGTAGCACGCAAATTTCTGATTGAATGAGACGTCGCCCGACTCTACACGACCTTTCTTTGAAAAGTTATAGAATTTACAAGAAAATTTCTGTATGTCCACTGTCAGCTCAAAAGCTACAGAGAAGAAAGAAGCAAAAAATTAATTTAGGGCTTTTCTTGTAAATTCTATAACTTTGCAAAGAAAGGTCGTGCAGAGCTGGAAGAGGTCTCATTTTAATCAAAAATTTGCGCGCTAGAATTATGCCTCGTTAAGAAAGATTTTGGTTATTTTTTCGAATTTCTAAAAAACAGGTTTTCCAGAAGACTGGATCTTCGAAGAGCTATGGAGAAGCCCCATGATCATATTCGGGATCAGCATGGTTGATAACCTATAATCCACTAGATTTCGATCAAAAAGCGATTTATCACCCCGAGAGGTTCCCTCGTGACTGTGAATAGAGATTTCAAAGATTTAATAGATCTGTTGAGAATAGCTTTGGATGGGATGTGTGTACTGTAAAAACTATTGAGCAAGCTTTAACAGAGCTACAAAAATTTTCCTGCTAAGTACAGTGAAAAGCTCGAACTTCTGAGCTTTTTCTATAATACGGTTTTGTAGCTCCATTAAAGCTTGCTCAGTGGCAATTTGACGAGCTCTGCAAAGTGATATGATCAGAGGCCCTCTTTCCGCACATTTATGATGGGTCTGTAGAGACTAGGTTTTGAAAGACCCATTCAGGAACTCAGTAATGGTCCGAATTATAAGATCACGACATCAGATTCGTGATCAGCATCATAGGTCACCATGGAAAAACTAGGTTTAACAAGAAAAGCTTTGTATCATCTAGGAAGGTTCCCTCGGGAGTAGAGATGTGCACGGGTACCATTTTCGTACTCGTATCCGACCCGAAAGTTTTTTTTCACCCGTACCCGACCCGTAATCAACTTATACCTAAAAATTTTCTCCTTTTTGTTTTCCAACTACAAGCTTTTGTTTTTCGGCTGCAGGTGTCAAATTATCATCACGTTCTCAAGTAATTCTTTTTTAAACCTTCATGTATATTAGCTAAATTCCTGTATTTTTTTCACTAAAATTTT